GAAAAATATCTTCTAGTTCAGTCTTTGGGACAAAAATCTCTTGAAGGGATCCTCGTTCCTCTGTATTCTTTAAGTCTACTGAAATTGTAGGCAGGACAGCTTTAATCCAGAAGTGGACCAAGACCTCCTATACTCCATTGTAGTTGAGAAAGAAAACTTGCATAGAAGTGGGCTCAACTGCCTCTTTTATTTCTCTTGTCAATGTGTTGCTGCTCTGTTTTACAAATTAGAATGCCTATTTGGGTGTTTTAGTGGAGGTTTTCTTGGTTTTGCTTTTATCTTTCCCTTTAGAGAGCTCTTCCCAGTTTTTGTCTTATCCATCGTTTTTGACTTGTACGTTCCATTAGCTATAGTGCTCTGCTTGGAGGTGTATCTTACTGCCACCTAACAAAGCACTGGTAGTTGTTTCTATAGGAAATCGGGTAGTTCTTGCTAACACAACACTCAGCAGGATTTCAGATAAGGTTCAGGCTCTCATATGGATATCAGAAACAAGCTTGGTTGTAGTAGGTAACAAAAAAAAAAAAATCTTTCCTGTATTAGGGCACTTAACTATTGTGGAGACTGACAGGGACTAGGGAGCAGAAGCTTTCTCTGAGGGGCCTATGCTGTAACATTGGGTGAAGATTCTTGCTCTCCTGAGAACTCTATTCCTGAGCCCCTGTTGAAGGCAAGATACTAGAAGTGGTGTACTCAAAGATCTGACTCTTTCCAAAAACTGATTGATTTGAGTATGAGTTAGTTCTTCCCCAATAAAATCAAATCATGAAGGATGGTATAGAGGCAGTTTTCATTTTAAATCCAGTATTTCATAATAGAAAGTAGATGGTCTCTTGGGAGGAGTAGTGTGGAAATTTGGGGAGAAGAGGGAAGGGTCTGGTTACAGTTTTGATGTGGGAGTCCTGTCATCTACTATTGTTTTTTTCATTGTCTCATGGATTATTTGGGAAAGGACGTTGTTTTCCCAATCTCTACTTGATAACACACTGCAAAAGGGCCCTTGTGATATCTTTTCTGAATAGATGTTTTCTGAAATAGTCATGTGAAAAAAAAAATAGTGATGTGAAAAAAATAGTGTAGTATTTATCTTCAAGATTCATCCTCATGTGACATACTTTTTTCATGCAGATTAGAAGTGATACATCACAGATCCTGGACGAGACCATTCCGCTCATTAAAGACAAGGTGATGGAGATTAACCACATCTATGCCAAAGTTGATAAATTAGAGGTTTGTTCATTGCATTAGAAAATTTACATCCTTATTTTATGTGTTTTATAGGTTAACTGTCCAGGTATTAAAATGGAGCACTCAGATGTTTATGGTTCTCTATTGTCTTATGTCTGTTTTTAAATCAATGTGTTTACCCATGGTTCAGCACATATAAGTGTTTATGGTTTTGGAACATCACCGAGTAATTTATTGCTGTGGATTCTACAATTCCTAACAGTAGATTAAAAGCATTAGTTGTGGTTTTGATGTTAATAATAATGTTAATTCGTTTTGTGACTTGAAGGCGTATCTGTGAAACCATTTATAACTTTAAAAATTCAAGTCTCACGTCCAGTGCTGGACATACCCATTTTAAGTTGTTGATGATTGTCTTATGTAGTAGTGGAGAGATTTCGGAGCCCCCATCTTCTGTTGTGTCTGTTTTGGTGTTTATTGTATCCTGAATGAGGGAAGCCAGTATGACTCACTAAGATGATGCCCTCATCATATTTAGTAAGCAGTATGTTAAAATTTGTGTCAACTGAGGGCAAGTTTGCCTCTGGGAGGAATATAATGAAAACATGACGAGATAAATTGTGTAATGTTTAAAATCAGTTTTAACTGACTCAAAGTGAAAGAAACCAAGTGTTTTTGGCATTAAATCTGGATAGACAGTGCTTAAGCTTCAGGCTCTACCCCTGTACAAAGTGATATACTCTGGTAAGGTTTATTACTCCGGGAGGGACAGGACAATTGACTTAGCTTTCAGCAAGTTTTCTTTAAATGCAATTAATTTTTTGTAGTTTGCATTTTTACACCTACATATGACAACAGACTTATCAAACCACTTCATATTTTATGGACTTACACAGCACCAGGAGAAAGCTTCAGGCAGGAAATTGAGGCAAGGTATTTTAGAACAAAAGTGGGAGTCAACGGTTAACTTGTTTAGAACCTGTCTGATTTTCAGAACTGAGTACCCCAGTCCAAGAAATAGCTAGCAGGTTCTCAGCATACTTGACAATTTGGCCATACTTGAATGTATACTTAAGCTAGGACTGTGAAAAATGGCTAACTGAATCAGGTTCCAAACCAACTGTTTCTGGAAGTGTCTCACCCATTTAGGTCTTTTTGCAAATTCCGTGCTTATAGGTGGTTGGGATTTTTTGGGGAGCGTGGGGGGGTGTTTTTGTCTTTGAACAGGAAAATAAAATCAAAACTCTAAGCAATTACGTGTGCCAAAAGTATGGTAAACGACAGGGCTCCGTATTACTTTTTCCCCTCTAATACAGGGAGGGGAAAAAAAAACCCCAACCTTCCTGACCCCATTCCCTTAGTACAACTGTAGGGACATAGTAATTTGGAATATGAAGAAAACACAGGTCTTTGCTAGGCTACAGGTTGCCCTTGAATAATGCAGCAGAATTTTGTTGAGAGCTTTTTTTGGTTATCAAGGGAGGATAATACCTTGATTGGCTAGGAATCAGTTTTTCTCCCTAACATTACCAGCTGTAATGGCAGTAATCTGAGAGCACAAGATTAAATTGGCAATTTGAGCAGTAGTTAATATTTTAATTAGAACTTTTAAATTTAAAGCTTAGCATCCATGGGGATTTTCAAGGGAGAAATTAACTTGTACTCCCAAGAGCCGAAAAGGAGGGGACTGTTGTGTAATGGTTACATAGGATGAGAATCTGCTGGGGTTTAATTTTGATGTTGCCACTGGTACATTTCGGGCAATTAATTTACCTGTTCAGTCTCACCTTCCCCATCCCTGAAATGGGCAGCGCTCAACTTCTCAAAAAAAAAAAACCAAACGTGAAGCTTAATCATTAATAGAGAGTATCAAAACTCTTTACAAACTGTTCTGTATTTTAACAAACAAATACTGTGTTCTTTCTAGTTGGCTTTCCCTTATGGCTCAAATTTCGACTGAAACTGGACATGTGTATGTTTTAGGTCAATAATTCCTGATCTTTTTTAGCTAAAATCACCTGTCGTTATCTTTTCCTCTGCTGTCTCCTCCCTCCTACCACTTTGGCCATTTTCTCACTCCTACCAGTAGTAGCAGCGTCTTCGTGGGTTCTGAAGAGCTTTTCACCTCGCTGCTGAAATGTTGCTGGACCTTTAGACACTATGCAAGTGCTTACATACTCTGTATGCTGAAAAGGGAGCAAAACTCTGCCCTTAGGCAAGGAGAAAACTTAAACGTAGGTCATGACTAGTGGCTCATGGCTGTAAACATCTGTAGTCTACTTATGAGTATGTGCCCTTTAGATATTTATATTAACAATAGTGCACTCTGAAATCTTGTTAAAGGTTTTTCTTTGACTTCTGATCGCTAGCTGGGATAATGTTGAAACCCAGCATAGGTGCTTTTCATTTTCATTAGGTGTTTTTCCTCTCTCCATAGGCATTTGTTAAAATGGTTGCACGCCATGTTTCCTTCCTAGAAGAGCAAGTGCTTGAAGCAGAGAAGAGCCATGGCACCTTTCTTAATACTGTTTGCAAATTATTTCAGTGTGCAACTATCTCGTCATTTAAAAACGTGAGTATTTTTAAAGTTGCTTCCAGAAGATGGGAAAGTGATGTTAAATACCCTTTCTGTATCAAATGTGGCCTTACAGCAGATTTAATTATTAATTTTAAGTGGTGTAAAAGAACTAGCTACAGTTTGATTCTATAAAGAGAAATTTTTTAAATTTTTTAAAATTTTCAATAATTTCCTTTTTTTTAAAGAGTTGCTGCTTAGGCATTGAATAGTTCCAGGAGTAATTTTTGAAGATCTCTACGTTTTGCTCCTCAATGAAAAGATTTTCTCTGTACATGACTATGCAAATTGGAAGCTTGCATCATCTACATCATCTTGCAGTGAGAGACATAAGTATAGATTGTTCTTTCTATTTAGTCTTTGTTTTTATGTCAATTATGTCGAAATTACTTTGTAGGGTCATCCATGGATGAGCACTAGAGGGGGATGAGAACTCTTTCAGTGAGTTTTAGCGATGTTTGCTGATAGAAGAATGTTGAGAGTCAGGGGTAATGAGATCTGATGTGGACTTGGGGAAGCTTTATGTACTCTTCATCCTTTCTGTCCCTGTTCTTTTCCAAGAATGTCTTCATACCACTTACCTTTACACTCTGTTTTCCTTCTCTAAGCTCCCAGGTCATTCTCTAAATCTGTAGTTTCCCGAGCAATTCATCACAATCTCCAGTTAGCCTTTTCTGAACTCATCCCTTCCATTCCTCCCTCTCCATCTTGATGTGAATCTGCTATGTTTTCAGTCTTAGCATATCTCTATCAGGATCCTTGTTCTAGTTTCAACTACCTCTCTGGTTTCTTTTGTCCCTTCTGTATTTCCACCATTATGTTTCCCTCCTCATTTTTTTCCAAGGGGCTTCCGTGCCAGTATGCATAATACTGGGTAGGCAATAATACACAGGTATCGGTGATCACATATGTACAGCTGAACCACTTCAAATTTTTGTCTGGTGTCATAGCAACCTCTGAAAGCTTCAGTTGCAGGAAGAGTCCAGTTCAGTTTCTGCAGATCCAGGATGAATCTTAACTGCTTAAAGAGAATAATGAATATTCAGTCTGGTCAACAGAGGCATGGACAGGAGATGGTGCATACTGATTTCATCTTCAGCTGTCAAACTCTAGTGAATCTTTAGAAAACCACAGTTTATATAGTCTCAGTAAAAAGTTGTAACTTGGCCAAATTTGGTAATATTTTCATAGGAATGGGAAAATATGTCCCTGGTATGAGGGCAGTTTACTGCCAATTTAAAAATCTCTGCTGCAGCTTATGAAGGCATTGGAGCTTTTCAATAGAGCTAAACAACACATGCTTTTCCTTAATTTCATTATCTGAATTGGCTTGATTTTGTTCCCTAAAACTTTCCAAACATGTTAAACCTGCAGCAGATACCCAGTCTGGAAAATATATCAAAGCTGGAAGTTTTGCAAGGTTGGTCTGCCTATACAAATAACTGGGACGCCAATAAGAATGTGGAAAAGGCCAGACTATTTACTCAGAAGCTGGCTTGAGTTGGACTTGAAGACAGTATAGTGTTTTCAATTTTTTTTTTCTTATAATTACAAAGAAAAATTTTGAAATATTGCGTAATTGTGTATTCATGCTTGCAGGCATCTTGGAATGATAATATTAGTGAACAAAAGAGAAAAACAAATAGGGAATGGTGTAGCTTCCTACTGTACTGATCTTATCCCTTTCTCCCATCCTTTCCCCCAAAAATAGTACATCTAGAAAGCATGGTGAGAGAGGTAACAAGGATGAGCACAGATGAGGAAAAGTTCTCTCAGAGGAATTTCTAAACAGACGAAGATTCAGCCTGAGGGAGGACAGGACAGGGTAGAGATTCGTGAAGTCATTCTGTATGTGGAACAGGTGAATGGAGAATGATTATTCACTCCCTTCCATAATTCAAGAACTAGGGTCATCCAATGAAATGATCCGCAGGCAGGTTCACAATACAAAAAGGGAGGTACTTACTTTACATGATGTATTAATATGCCACAGAACTTATGTCCACAAGATGTTACATATTCCCAAAGCAATTAGACAAATTCATGGGGAAAAAAAAATCCAACAATGGTTATTAAACAAAATATCTGTCCTTCAGCCACGAATTCTTGAAGACTGGGAAATAAGTTTGTGTATTTACATTTTAAATCTTTCCCTAGGCAATCCCTTCAACTGGTCACCACTTAAGAGGAATTATTTGGCCGCATGGACCTTTGAATGATGCAGTACAGCTGCTTGTTAATAACTTCTACACTGGTTCTCACTGTAAATTCTGGCTCTGAATGACAATGCTCTGCGTTGGTAAGGAATTATTCACTTCTAGGAGAAGTGTGCAGGAAAGGATTGAATTGTTTAAGGACATAAATGGAGTTTGAATTTCTACAGCAATTTTCCTTTTGGTTTGACTGTTGCCTGAAACTGAATAAGATCCCTGCCAACTATTGAAGTTTCTGTACGCTCTCCAAACCTGTTTCTTTCTAGTTGTCCATCCCCTTTCCCCTGTTATAGGATATCATTGCAGAGATGCCCCTTTGGTATCTTTTGCCATTTGAAAATTAGGACTGTCCTGACCATTTTTGTAGGTGAGTTTAACTTGTTCTGAATTGATAGTGTCCAGCTTGTGTATCTTCTCTCCATAGCCTTGATCAGACTGGGTAAAAAAGTTTGAGAGTTCCCTTCTTTCCGAGTAGTGTGTGTGCATGTATATGTATTTCAGCTAAGTTTTTTCCTCTTCTAATTAAACATGCATGCTATTTTAAACGTTAGGGAAATCTCATTGTTTTGCAATTATATTTCAAGGTGCAGCAAAATCCTGTAATGTTTGTCTTTTTTATCTTTGACTGTGTTCTTTGAGTATTCAGAAAGTTGTTTCATAAAGACTTCCAGTGCACAGTAACACTGGGAAAGGTGTCTAATCTGTGGGAGAAAAGTGAGTAATCAGAATTAACTTTTTGTGTTAGGAATATCCAGAGGTGGTCTGAAAAGAAACAGCCTTATACTAAATATAAATTACAAATATGACTGGGTAAGTCTGACAGGGTATAAGAATATAACACCTCCCAAGGGAACAGAACAGAGGAAATAACTTTCTCTTGTGAAGTTTGCGGCTCTGTGGAAGAAAAGCTTTTCTTCTGTAAAGCTTGAACTTTGTATGGGAGAAACTGTGATTTCAAATCTTTTATCCAAAGATGTTTTCTGTGCCCTGGCTGAATGGGGTTCAGCAATCTTACGGAAAGGACAGGAAATCTGTTTTAGAAAACTTCAGCATGTGGAGTTTAAAAAAAAAAAAACACTAGTATCTTTTCCAATGGAAGAAAACTGAATGTCAGCAACTCTTGCTGTTTTGTCATGCATCTTGTGATATCTGGGGTTTTCTTAAAGCCAGAAATTTTCTTTCAATGTCATTGGCTGACAATCTTAAACATTTATTTTTAGAGTAATTTTTAACCCCTGTATAGTTGCAGGGAAAGGATTATAAAATCATTACCTCCAAAAAATGTCATGCAGATGGCATGAAGAAAAAGATGCACGTCTGTTAGATTTTTTTTTTTTTCAGAGGCTCTCTATTGTCTCTCTTTCTTTCTACTAACACTGTAATCTCTAAAACAGCAGCCGCTTATCTGAGGTGGGGTTTGCTGTCTTGTCTTGGCTCAGGTGCTGGCTAATGGTTTTTCCTGACACCTGGGGTAGATTCTGACAAATTGAACTGGGAAATTGATAATGGGATATGAAGCATTCTGTGTGTTACTTTATTAGTTCATCTGAGCTCAGTCATGAGCAAAAGTTATTGATGAGTTATACTGACTAAAGTATCTAGGAAAGAGACCTGTACTTAACAGTTCTTTTCAGTGGTTACCAGTGTGAAGTGTGGAAGCGGACATAGACTTCTGGCTGCAGTTTCCAGAGAGTGATAGTATACTCATTCTCTGAGAGAAGAAAGCTCAGAAGGACTAAGGAGCTATGTAGAGTTAAGGTTTCGCTTAATGTAGAAGACAGCTAGCTGGGTTTGAATTTTCATAAATAAATCTTAACAAAAATAAGTAATTGGAATAAGAAATCTTTTCTATATTGAGACTTTGCATTTTTCTTACCTTTTGCAGATCATCCTTCAAATGTAACTTAATGTCGGTTTTAGCTTCTCTATTTGCTACATATTACCGATTTTTTTTTTTCTTGAAGACTCTGAAGAAGCATGTATTGGGATTTCTGTTACTGTCTTTGCCACTGACAATGTGTGATCACATATATGTCATGCTCTTTCTTTGTGTCCTAATTTACCTCACAAGATAATGTTTAGTGTTTCCAAAATGCTGTGAGATTTTTCTGACAGCCTTGAAGAAAAATAGTTGTTAAATTATTACTAGAACATACCAGATGGGAAAGATGAGAAGAGAGAAAACAGAGCAGAGTATTTCAAAACTGGGGGTGTACTATGTTCATATTTAAAACTCATTCATTTTCAAGTGCTGAATACTACTAGCCATTTTTTTAATAATGGGGAAAATAAAAAAATCTGACGTACTGAAATATTTAATGTTAAGAACTTCGGGGGCACATTCAGCTTATTTTACCTGTAGCTACGCTTGAAATTCATCCAGTTCCATTCTGATTTGGACTGGGTTTGGGAGCCCCAGAGAGGTCACACTGGTTCTGTGTTGAGAAAGATAACACTTAAAAATGGGAAGATTCAAGTGAGGGGATGCCGTAGGCGTAGAAGTCAAGGTTTCAGCTACCCATGGCTTTAGCCCTTATTTGCCTGCTTCTTTGAGGGAGCCTACACAATTCTCAAAGTTAAGTGAGTTTCTTGCCAGTTTGCCAGTCTGGCGTATAGCTGAAAAGCTTGACAGAGGCTGCAACACTGTGCTTGGACATCAAGCAGTGCCACTGGTTTGGAGGAGCAGATGAGAGTGCTTGGGGCTTGAACACTGCCCACAGGAGCAGAAATACACACATGCACACACCTGTGTCTTGAGAACATTAGGGAAGGCTGGGGGAGAAG